CCTTCACCGATATCCCTACCCTGCAGAAGGGAATGTAGTCTGATAGCTAATCACACAAAGATATTCTCGTCCATGGTCTTGTGAGTTTGTAAACATGCTTTGGGCCAAGATGTACGGGTATACAAAGACATTTCTACTGTGAAGACATATTCTACTCCTCATCACCATAGAATTGAAAGAAAAGATTACAACTTTCTTAATAGCACCTAAGAAATATGTAACTATTAAGTGTGTAACTAATGCCCACAGCATGCATCCTGTTTAATTACTGTAAAGGAGATTATTAGCCAGGTGATTTTCTGCATACAAGTGGAGCTGTACTTAGAAAGTTAGGTTCCTATAGAGAACCTTTATGCAGGACAAGTAGCAAGTGAAAAATGAACCTGGTTACGCCACAAGTCCTACCTTAATACTGTGTGTATCTTATGAAACTACTGGGAGGATTATGTAGCAGCCACAGTATGTGCTGTATCTGAGCAAGAGCTGTATAGTGTACTATGAACAAGTTCTCTTCTTCTGCCCCATTCTCGGTACTGGATATATTTTAACAACCCAAAAAAAGTTAAAACTAACGAGGGATTTTAGGGTTACTATTAAATAGCTACATTAGCTGGATATGTCTGTAGTTCTGCAGAGCAGAGCAGATTAGATTGGGGCAGTTGCATTTGCATTCATAAATCTCCAAAAGAAACTACCACTTCCAGGAAGACTTGGAGGATGTCTGGTACAGGCTGTCTTCTTCTGATGCTGTGAAAGATGGCTGATTTCCTGAACCAAAAACACTCCTTATAGGATTTCTGTTTTTTATCTCCCCAAAATTATGTTGTCATCTGTTATAGTCAGCGCTCTATGTATGTTGCTGCTCTGATCTGAGTTTCCATATATGACGATATATGCAGCACAGTATAACATGTCAATGCAAGAGCACGCATGATGTGGCATAACACATTAGAATATACATTTTATCACAAAATGGTCATTTTTAGATTACTGTATTTCATATTACAGTTAGATACATTGGTGTATATTATATTACCCAGTGGCTTTAGGGCCTTGGTATGGGCTATTAGTTGTAGGTTCAGCACCTTGGAAGAATATTTCCATGGTATTTTTAGGAGGGAGTTTGCCCACCCTAACCTATGATTTCCCTACTGAAGCAATTGTTATGTCCTGTTAAATAGATTATAGGTGGACCTATGTTTCTTCCCTAATTCTTTAGTCTGTGATATGGTTGTTTGTCTCAGTGCATAAAGCTCTTATATAAATTCTATTACCCCATTCTGTTACATGACCAGTCATGGCTAATGGTCAGAGTAGGAAGCATGCCTAACGGTTAGGGCAGGAGTTGGTAGCCAGGAATTGAAGCCCAGGGTCAGAACCAGAGTCAGAGACCAGATGTCAGAGCCAAGAGTCACAGCTTAAGTCAGAGGTCAGGAATCAGAACCCAGGGTCAGAACCAGGTTACCTGGAGTGGGACAAGGCAGGAGTGGGGTGGTACAGGGAAGAAACAGAACTAGAACAAGTCCTGGGAACAAGCAGGCACAGGAGCTATCACACCCATGTAGGGTTGCCAGGCATCTGGTTTTCAACCGCAACGACCATCGAAAAGAGACCCTGCTGACCAGGCCGTTAAAAGTCCAGTTACGATGCAGGCATGTTACTGCTTCCGGGAACCACCTGAGATGAGCACCACCCGGACACTGCACCCCAACCCTCTACCCCAGCCCCCTCCCGCACCCAAACTCCCTCCCGGCACCCACACCCCCTCCACACCCCAACCCCCTGCCCCAGCCCAGAGCCCCCTCCTGCACCCCAAACCCCTCATCCCCAGAGCCTGCACCCCCCACCCGAGCCCTCACCTTCCTGCACCCCTGCCCCAGACCAGTGAAAATGAGTGAGTGAGCGAGGGTGGGGGAAAGCGAGCAATGGAGGGGGGATGGAGTGAGCGGGGGTGGGGCCTCAAAGAAGGGGTGGGGCAGGGGCGTGGTCTCATGGAAGGGGCGGTGTTCAGTTTTCTGCAAATAGGAAGTTAGCAAATAGTTTTCTGCAAATGGGAAGTTCCTATATGCATGAGCAAGTGCTTTGAGTGGCTGCTGGGCTTAGGAACCAGTCTGCTGACTCTTTCAGTCAATCAGGCGGTGTAGCTAATCAGGTAGCCTACTACAGGTCAGCTGTGTTCGTTAGGTTGCCCAGAGTCTGACTTTGCTGCAGGCCCTGATTCCTGACAAATTCAATCTCTCCTCACTAAAGCCTGGGATGTCTGCATAAATTCTTCCAATTTCTGCCTACACACTTTTCCAGTACTAAGAGCTGCACATGCACGCAATGAAATTTTCATATACCAAGAATCTTTGTTCAAATGTATTTCATATATAAATATTCTTTCTCGGTAGTGGACTCCACCACCTATGTGTGGCAGGGGGAGTGCTGGAAAAGTATTCTTGCAGAGGCACGTGAGCCATTTTGTGTGTGTACTAGTGAACACCAGTTTGAGATGAAACTGAAAAATAACCCCAAAATCTAAAATCAAGTAATCTGGTTTCAGAGTTTGATAGAAAGCACTTTATTCTAATGCTAAATGATTGTTCCTTTGAGAAATATAGCATGCCACCATTTTAGTATAATACCACATTTCCGTAAACTCATTCTCTGACTCACTGTCTCTACATATATTTCATCTTTCATAGAGGGCTCTCTGAGGCACAGTGCCTCCTGGAGTGGGGCAACTTACGCTCAAATTTGTGCCTAAGGGCACCATCTAACCTCACTGGGCGAACTCCCTTGAGTCAGGCGAGCAGGATGGAGTCCCAGATGATTATCTTCTGTGCCATATTGATTTCCTATATCATACTAATTTAAACCATGCCTGTGTTGGATTTTTGGTTTAGCTGTAATGATTCTCTCCTCTCTGTACACTTACAAACACTTCCATTGTGTTCTTTATTTATATCATACCGTAATGACTTTTTTGTGTGACTCAAATATAGAAGCTATTCACTGCTGTTTTCTTTTGTTTGGGATTTTTTTTATAGTCATTCCCGGCTTGTGTACAGCTTTGCATTAATATCACACCTTTTAAGCAAAATATTGGCTCAGCACTGAATAGATTTGTTTAGAATGTTCTTACTAGAAATATCCTGCCGCATGTGTCAGCTCGGTCTGGGTAACCTCACAGAGTGCAGTCTGCCACTGAACCGACAGTGTACATTTAGGCAAACACATGTTTACGTTTCAGAGGGGTAGCCGTGTTAGTCTGAATCTGTAAAAAGCAACAGAGGGTCCTGTGGCACCTTTAAGACTAACAGAAGTATTGGGAGCATAAGCTTTCGTGGGTAAGAACCTCACTTCTTCAGATGCCAGGGAGGGTCTTACCCCCGAAAGCCTATGCTCCCCAAACCTCTTTTTGGCTTTAAAGGGG